CAACATAGTCTTGGATGCATGCGGATCGGCCGGCATGTGGCAGCTGGCCTGTCAGATCTTGCGTGTTATGTGGCAGAGGAAAGTCTCCGCAAATGCCATCAGCTTCAATTCGGCGATGTCCGCATGTGCCAAAGAGGATCTGTGGGAGCAGGGCTTGCATCTGCTGGGCGACATGCCCAGCAGAGGCCTGCGCGTTGACGCCGTGACATGCAGTGCGGCTCTTAACACCTCGGGTGGCCCTTGGGAGCGTGTGTCGAGGCTGCTTGCCAGGGCAAGCAGGGAGGTGGAGCTGGATGCAATCGCCTTAAACTCCGCTATGGGCGCCCTGAGCAGTGCTGAGCAGTGGCAAGACGCCGTGTTTCTGCACCAGGAAGCTCCTGAGCTAAAGAGGCAGCTTCCCTATGCTGCGGTTGCGAAGAGTCCCTGGCTTCGTGCTTTAGCAGTGGCCGCCGGGATGGATGCATGTCGCCTGCAGAGGGATCTTCATGGCACCGGTGCTTTAGTCTCATCCACGGAGAAAGGATGGCGGTGGCAGCCGGCATTGCAACTTCTGCAAGCTGCGCATCTGCAGACTATGCAGCCCAGCACCATCGTTCTGAGCCCAGTGGCCAGCGCCTGTGAAAAGTCTGCCCAGTGGCAGATACTGGGGGTATATAAAGCACGTTATGTTACATATTACTTCATGACCACTAGTAATGGTATTCTTGTTGTGGCAGTTGTAAACAACTTAAAAAGCCCAGGAGAGCCCTGGGGCTCGTGGTGACGAGGCGAAGCTACGACGCTGGCACGAGCAAGGCAGACTCGGAGGCCTAGAAGTCACATCTCCCATCGCTTACCCTTAACATGTAAGGGTCTTACCTAGGTCTTTTGGTATAAAGGCTTCATAGGTTGTTAGAAGTTAGAAGAGTTTGTGTGAGGGCTTCTATACGACTTTATTGAAGGGTTTATAGGTTTTGACATGTTTTGACATTCTCCCTGATGGGTCAAACGTCCGTTCCAAAGGGCCCCTGCAAAAGTAGTAAGACTGTTCCTTGGGATTCCATGATATAGTAACTCCGAAAACTAAAAAACCGAGTGAACGTTTTCAGCTTCTATAATATTAGGTGCCATTGGGTAGCCCTTAGCAGCCTTGGCATTTTTGGTACATTTTTATAGGTGTTCAGCGTGCACTCTTAGTTGTTTATATATTGTAATCACACTTGCCCGATGGCTAACCTGCAAAGATCAAAGTTACCTGACTGGCAAGCACAAACCAGAGTCCTTTGCTCTGTGGGTTTCTGACAATCGCCACACAAAAATTCTTTGCCGTTTCTCGGCGCTGTAGCAGCAGCAGCAGTCTTGACTTTATATTTTTTGAGGCGGCAGACGGCAGTTCGCAGTTTGAAGTACGAGTAGTGGGAGCGAGCAGGGCCAGCAGCATGTTAAGATGCTCACCAGCATTGCTACGCAAAGAGGTCTTGTCGATCAAGTCATGGTGGTTGATTTCAAGAGCCCCCGTTGAAATATTTCGCTGCGAGCCCATAGCCCCTGCAGCACGTTTCTGTGCATAGGGTCTCAACGAGCAGTCAGGCATGCAAGAGTCCCGCTTCAAGAGTATAAGACAACAGGTAGTTAAACCCGAGAGAGGAACGTAGATAGGTTTAGCGTTATAAGTTTTTATGAGGAAGAGAGGCTTGCCAACTGGCACGAGGGAAATCCCCCAAACTCCCTTAAGCTCCGGGGTACCCGACTACCGTCATATTGTTGTACAGGAGTTCGGGTGCAGATTAAGGTTTGGTGATTGTAAGAAGCAGTCTCCTGGGCAAGATTAGCGATTGTGCCCTGAGGCAAACTTGAACGCCCGTGCCTAGACACCAAGCCCAATGCTCATGATTCCAGAGCGGCACCAGAAGCCTTACTTCAGGTGTACCTGTTCAATGCAGCCATCAGCGCTTGTGAGAAGGCGGAGGCGGGCATGGGCACTCGCGAAGTCGAAAAGTTTAGGGCATCAGGGGGCAATATCAGAGTGTAATTTGAGGATTCTCGTTGACGTCGCTTGGGTTTGGTTTAGTTTTGCGAAGTGGTAGTGTCCAGTTTTCAGGGTGACACCCGAATGTACTGCAACCTTCATGTTTGAAGTGCCAGAATGCCAGAAGTGGGGTCTAATAATATCTGCTGCTCTTTTCCGAGCGCTGGTTTCTTGTTGTCTCCGAAACTCCACCGCAAAGTCAACTCCGTCAGGCTAGCTTAAGCCCGACAGCCCTATACCCTAGAATGTGTCTGGGTCGAAACCGTAGAATCCTTTCAGCACTGTGCACTCGGAAATCCGGAAATGCGCGGACCCGAAACCCTTAGATCGTAGAGCCCCAAGGACTTCATCCCTGGCTTAGAACTCGAAGCCCTGTTAGCCAAAATGCATAATGTATCATAATAAGTATAGTATAATTATAGTTACCATGTATTACAATAGTATATTCTATACCCTATTTATGTTATCTTGATCATTCGCACTACACTCTAATAATAGTGGCAACAAGCCATCCGACAACCCCTTTCCCCAACGCAGGTGGAGTGGGTATCCGCCCTTCAGCTTCTTGCATGGGCTTCCTGTGAACATGCACCTGGGCCGTACGAGGGAGGAGGGGGCATTAAGGCTTTCGATAGAATAGACCCTAAACCGTAAACCCTAAACCCTAAACCCTGAACCTTAAACGCTAAACCCTAAACCCTAAAAGAAGTCCAGCACAAATCCCACCTGCAAAGGTTCAGTCCGATGTGGTGACCTTCAGCGCTACTCTCAGTGCTTGTGTGCCTGAGCTGCGCATTGAGGAGGGTTGAGAATAGGATCTCCGAGTAAAAGCACAGTCTTCAAACGGTTCGCATATCTGCACTAGGGCACTAGAGTTCAGAGTTTAGGGATGACGGCCCAGGCTTAGTTTCAAAAGCGCTACACCTCGAACCTGTTGTCCTGCACTGAGCTAGCCGCATGGCCGACCTAGGTGCCCCGACGGTGGTTGCACCAAACGTTCGGGGCATGTGCATTTGCCTTTTTCGCCCTTTTTTGGCAAAGCTGGCATTAAAGCCTGCTAGTGCAGATCTCAGATCCAGCGAGACAGGGGGCAACAACGCCGAATAGTTAGTGACACGGCCCTAAATCCAAAGCTTCTCGCCCCAACCCGACATCCTTCCGAGGAAAAGCCCGGGGAATGGCGACATGCCCTGGACCTTCTGGGCACAGCCGAGGCCCTCAAGGCGACGGCGGCTTGGGGCCGAGGTTTTAGGAGGATTGCTTGGAGGGTCGGGGGACTTAGAAAATGGTTATTTTATAGACTTAGAAGTACTTATAAGTCTACTTGTGATAAGTCTTATCACCTACTTACTAAGTCTCCCGACCCTCCAAGTGGGGTGTGGTCGGTGCTGAGTCGGGTTTTTGAAGGCTTTAAGGAGGGGTGCCCGAAACCCTCGTAGCATCAGTACAAGGTCCTCAAGGCTTGTGTGGTACTCTTTGGGTGTGGGGATTTTGCTGAAGTTCTCCCACCGATTCAGCAGGAGGGGGAGGGGGGGCCGAGTGGGTGCCAGAATCTCGTGCGAGTTTTCGGCGATTTAGAAAAAAACTGGCTCTTAGCCGGCCTTTGGGTAAACCCGGCACGACATCTCAACCTCGGTCGGCTTTCATGAGAGGTGGCAACGAACCTGATCTCCCTGAACGCGGCTGTCAGTGCCTGCCACAAAGGCGAAGCAGTGGACTGATCCTTATGTTGTCTTGATCTGGAGCACGACGTCAGTCTCAACTTTCCGCCGCCCTCGGCTGCTGCAGAGCCGGGCAAAGTGTCGCAATCCACCATGCCAGCTCAGAAGCATCTCTTGGGCGGGGGCAGATACCGGATGGAAGAATACAGTATTCTGATCGATAGGCCCGCTTTCGCCGCTGGATTGTTTTTACAAGTTTTGTTGCTTTCGCCGTTGTTTACCTGGTAAAAGCTGTCTAGTTTTATGCGTGCCCAACAATGCTTCAGGTAGGTTCGCGACTTCGCGCCGCAGTTCGCGAAAACTGCAGGATACCTGAAGCTGCCGATGGCGACTTGGAGGTCAAGGACGGGTTCTCGTCCCACCAGTGCTGTCACCTCGGCCATCATTTCTCCAATTGAGAACAGCGAGACAATCTGCTTTGGGGAGGCTCTGGTCTCAAAGCACCAAAACTGCGCGGCTTCTCGTGATGTTTCTCCTGGGCCACAGCCAGCCATGCGGTTTGGATGCGGCAAAAAGCCGCTGATGTGTCGAGAGCTTGCCAGAGGCTGTGGCTCAGGTGGTCCTCTCGCAGTTTGTAAAAATGAGAGGTGCGGTAGCTGGTAGTCTTGTGTCTGGACGTTCTATCTCAGATGATTGTAGAGTTTGCCTGTGGCTTCTATCAATGACGCCTGCGACGCAGACATCAGCTCCGATTTCGCACCTGAAAGGGTGCGTTCTGAGATGTGTTAGCCACGTGTGCGGTTAAATTCGTCTTTAGAATCAGAATCCCATTTCTAGACTCTAGGCTCTAGACCAGATAGGCTCCCTTTTTTCTGAAGCTCCCATACATGTACGTTCATGTCGCCATTTGGGTACACTTACAGGACCTAAAGGCCCCTCCTTGAGTTTCACTGCATCCCCTGAAACTTCGGTGTTCAGGACTTGGGGTGTAGGCTCATCTTTTGGGCTTAGTGCATTGCAGTCCCTGCTCAAAAAGGCTCATCTTTTTCTTCGTGGTCTCACGGCTGATGCCCTTCGATGCGAAGAAGAAAGAGGGCCTGTCGGATGTCGATTGCTTTGGATTTCAGGAGCATCGTGGTGTTGGGTTTGCCGGGGTTAGGCTTTCCTGCACAGTGAGAGGGTCGAACCCCAGCCAAAACCCTGAGCGAAGGGTTTTTTTAACTGTCGCATGCTCGGATCCACCTTCTTAGATACCCTGCCTGCACCCCAAACCGGCAAACCCAGAGCCTCTACACCAAAAACCGCCGTGGGCCACCTCAGACATTGCCAAGGCCGTGGCTCTCCTAGTACGAGGCCGCAGCCGCGGGTACCACGGGCCGGATACCCTGACTGTTGGGTGTGGTGTCAGGGAGTACCTGAGGGCGTACGAACCTAGGCCCTCGACCCATAACGCGAGGGTTTAGGGTTAGGGGTCGTTGGTTCCGAGGTTTCTCCTCGCAGGATCCGGGGACGCAGTCGAGAATTTTGTTCAGTTTTCTGGGGGTTGGGGGGAGGCCCCAATCATCCTATTTGTGGCGATGTTGGTTTATACTCCACTCACCGAGTCGGGCACTTTAGGGTTCTTGAATTTCGGAGCTGCGGGATTATGAGGCCAATGTTGAGACGATTTTGGGCTCTGAATCTTCAGGATTCGCTGTGATGCTCCCGCGATTCTGTGACGTTTTTGGGTGCTTGGGGTTTGGAACTCAGGTTTCTGGATAAATAGGGTTAGTAGCATGGCGACTAGAAGATCATAGACATAGAAGATCTATAACAAGATATTAGGATTGAGAATTTAGGCTTTAGGGCGCTCTTTCATCCGTGGTTGAATCGGTGTTTGTCAAGAGTGCACTGACCGAATCAGAGCTTCATAGTTGGGGCTGTGGCCGCGAGCAAACCAGAACTGGGATCGGAGGTGTCACGGGACAGACATGGGCTGCGGGTGTTAACCGTTAACGCTCGGAAAGCCTGCACAATTCCCGGATGGTTTTCATCTTGCGGACCTGCGGAAGCGAAAAGGAGTATGCTTGGACAAAGCACAATTGCCTTGACCGGAAAAGTCGGTCTGGGTCTTTCAAAGTTGGCACTCTGCAGCTTCATCGAGCATCTGAACTTACTGGCCGGCACCTCCCCTCCATTCCCCTCCTGCTGCACTCACCCAGCTCCGGGCAACAAATGTGCTAGCAGAACCTGCACGAAGATGTTGTTGAGAAAGCCTCGCTATGATGAAAACAAGCTGCTTGTCAAAGCAAGGTCCGAAACACACATGGAGTTGGGCTGGACAGCGGCTTCATTCGAGCAGTAGCCTCAGTCCGGGCTGGTCAAGATTGAATTGCTTTCAGGTCTGACGCCAAGAGCGTCGATCTTGGGGCCTGTTGCTACCACAGCATATGTTTAATTCAGCATCTAGAGATACTCCCTAGGAACAAGCGAAGAAGAAACCGTGTTTTGAGCCACCCCACTCCTCGCATCTTGTAAGGTCGTGGAGCGATGAGGCACCGAGAGAGACCCGACACCGCACCCCAAAAGTGGAGTTGTCAGCGCACAGCGCTTTCGGGTTGCAGCTTGGGATGCAGTGCTGGCTGGCTCGCAGACGGAGCCCAGAACTTGCAGAAATGAGCCATTGTGTAGAAGGGCTTTGGGCCTGTTGTTTCCGGGAAGACACTGTTGCACCGCAAGAGTTTTTCATATGCACATGCATAGTCGTGCCGGCCAGGCATGTTCCCCAATTGCTTCGAGTCGACAGCAAGATGCGCGTGGTCTGTGACGCCGGTGCCCGCAGTGTGTATCATCCGCACTCGTTGGTTGGATTGTAAGAGTCTAGGCAGCCCAGGGCCTGCGAGATTCGAGAACAAGCCTGTTGCCAAACTGATGGGGGTTTCCGAAAATAGGGGACCCTAATATAGTACCCTAAATAGTAGGACTCTTATTTTAAGGACCCCAAAGTAAGGGTGCAAGCGACAAGCCAGTGCAGGTCGACGACCTGACCATGTCTTCATGCATTGAGGCAGGCGCTTCTTGAAGCAGACAGTGGCTGCATGTGGGGAGTTGTCAAAATTATGGTCCCTTTTGGGGTACCCTAAATAATAGGTGCCGTATTATAATAGGACCCCAAAAGGGACTACAATTTTGACAACCACCCATGTTACTGAACTCACTGCCTTGCTCGCAGCCATCAGCACAAGTCGCATCGGGACACTTACTTCGGGGCCTCTCTTCAGACCGCCCACCAGCCAGCGAAGAGGATGCAGGCATGTCATTGGATCGCCGCTTGCTTGCATGTGCTGGGAGTACTGAAACTTGCTTATGCCCTTCTTGTTGCTGCAGTCAGCCATCGTTGTTAATATGGTTCATTGTGGTTTCTAGGACTACCACAGTCATTCATCATAGTAGCCTCTAGTCATGATCCTTATTCTTCTCCTCATTTGGGGAGTCTTCTGAACTAGAGCCAGGGACTTGCATGGAACTACCCATCTTTTTCGAAATTAGACCCTAAGCCCTAAACCCTTTTCAGCAGATGGGAGTTTCCGAAAATTAGGGGTACCTTATTCTGGGGTCCTTATAATATTGATCCTATTATTTGGGGTACTATATTAGGAACCCTAAACCCTAAACCCTAAACCCTAAACCCTAAACCCAAGCCCTAAACCCTTTTCAGCAGATCTCTCGTCTCCCCGAGGCCGCTCTCTTAGCCACTCTGGGCCTGGCTGGAGTGGCCCGGGAGGGCGTGAAGCGCGCTTGGACACCCGCCAGCAGTCTGGGATGCTTCCATTTTCGGGGTTTCTGAGGGTTCGGACCGTGTTGGGGAGTTTTGCTTATGGGCTTGCGGAAGCGTGTTTCATGCAAGCCTGGTGGTTTTGGAGCTCTTACGCGTTTGAGTGAGTACAGGGAAGACAACGACTTGCGAGTGCAGGGAAGGAAAAGGCTTGTTTACTAATTACTATGTTTACACCATGTTTTGTTTTTTCCGCAAAGTTTTTCTGTTAAGGAAGGGCTCTATGGTTAAATCATGCTTTATGTTAGTCATTGTCATGTTTTCTGTTAAACCACGGGTAGCAGTGATTCTGTTCACAAGAATTCTGATTTTCGAATGGCTTGGCTTGGTTTGATATTCATCGAGAATCAAGAATATACACATGCACTATCTGTCTATCTCTACCTATCTCTATCTATCTCTATCGATCTATACCTATCTAATATCTATCTATATCCGTCTGTATCTATCTATCTCTATCTATATATCTATCTATATATCTATCTATCTATCTATCTATCTATCTATCTCTATCTATCTATATCTAGCTATATCTGGATCTATCTATCTATCCATCCATCCATCTATCTATCCATCTATCTATCCATCTACCTATCCGTCTACCTATCTATCTATCTATCTATCTATCTATCTCTCTACATATGTATGTATGTATATATAACCTATACATACATACCTAGCTACGTACGCACGTTCGTACGTACGTACATACATACATACATATAACATCAATCCTTAAATAAATAAATAAATAAATAAATAACTAAACACACACACACAAACACACACACACACACACGCACATATATTTTTTCTATATATATATATATATATCTGCACACATGCATTTCACGGCTGAGGGGCACGCACGTGCACGGCGGACTGCAGTGCATGAGGCGAGAGACATGGACATGCGACAGTACCGACTAGCCGCATTGAGTTTGAGCGGCCGGCACAACCAGAAAGCGCTATGGGTCGCAGACAGTCTATCAAGATCGCAACCAATGCGAGTCCCATCCCAGGGGTCAATGGGCCCCATAAGAGACCTTGGGACAAATCGTACCTGCTGTGAGTGTAATCGGAGACGAAAGCGCCGGAACGTAATTACATCATATTACATCACCCAGCCAGAAGAGGGAACGGGGCGCTGCTTGATGCAGCGAAGCAGGAGGCAGTCGACGCCATCAAGATTAATCAAGATCGCACTTAGGTAGGTTTGCAGCGGACATGCTGCGTGCCAACGTTGTCCAGCCAGGCGTGCCGAAGCATGCGACCAGCAAAGCTGGTTGCATGTTGGCCATGCCGGTGGGTAACGACTTGAGGAGCCACAGTGAAGACTTACATGTAATTAGTTTGAGTATAAATCCAAATACAGATGCAGCTTCACGACGAAGTGACGAAGTTTAATGCATGCATATATATAATAATAATAATAATAAGAAGAAGAAGAAGAATAAGAATAATAATAAGAATAATAATAATAATAATCATAATCATAATCATAATCATAATAATCATACTTATACTAATACTAATACTAATACTAATACTAATACTAATACTAATACTAATACTAATACTAATACTAATAATAGTAATAATAATAATAAAAATAATAATATGTATATATATATATATAATAATAATAATAATAATAATATACATATATACAAGATATATACACACGTACAGGTGCAGACATACATGCACTCGTCTTCTTTAGATAGCAAAACCACGACTAGCTTGACCCCCCTGCACCCGAGTAACGAGTAGCATGCCAGCCATCTGTTCAACGGCATTTTGGTTTTTTAGGGCATGATTCTGCCTGTGCAAATTTGCACGGAGGCCTCGAAGCAACTTATAGGGTTTCCGATCAGCATGTGATCTTCTTTGTGCTTATATATAGGTTTACCCGGGTTTCAATCCAACGGATGCTGAAATCCCAAGCTCTCACCAAGGGAGCCGCGCGCCCAGCTTGAGGGTGCCGAGGACAGGTCCGACAACAGGGTCGCTCGGCTTTGACGTCGACGTGTTCAGATTTTAGAATTTTCGGGAACAGTTTTGGATTCATTTCTGGGTGTGCAGGTTTTGTTTTGAGCGTTAGGAGTTGGTTATCGATTTGGGTGGAAAAAACTGTTAGGGTCTGGGGGTTGAGGGTTGCGTCGGGGGGCGTTGCATGCTGTCATAGTATGTTCGTAGATGTTCCTGTACAGGAGCACCACCACCATCACCACCACCACGGCTGGCACCATCACTGGCAGCCGGCCACGGCGGACGCTGAGTTCTGCTCCGACGTGATGGAGGTGAAGATGTGCCATGCCAAGTGTGGCCACGATGGCGCTTGCCACAAGGCATGTCCCATGCCGAAAGATGCTGATCTTCAGACTAAGCTGGTGGAGAAGATGGAGTGCCATGACAAGTGCGGGGACGACCGCGAGTGCCACCGAGCGTGCGGCTGCCCTTTCCAGCAGCTGCACGAGAAGTGCCCGATGCTGAACATGGAGGCCCACATGTAGCTTAGAAAAGCATGGACAGGTTTCTGCTGCGCGGCTCGGGCACAGAGTGCGAGACCGTTGGAAAGCGATCTTAATTAATGGGATTTGTTTATGTCGCGGCGTTTCGCCAGGTAATAGTATACCGAGGCCTCGGAAGTAGCTACTAGTAAGTCGAAGAGAGTGACGCAACCGCAATGCTGCAGCTGTCCGCTGCGAAAACGCTATTCGCAGATGTTCCTGTACAGGAGCACCACCACCATCACCACCACCACGGCTGGCACCATCACTGGCAGCCGGCCACGGCGGACGCTGAGTTCTGCTCCGACGTGATGGAGGTGAAGATGTGCCATGCCAAGTGTGGCCACGATGGCGCTTGCCACAAGGCATGTCCCATGCCGAAAGATGCTGATCTTCAGACTAAGCTGGTGGAGAAGATGGAGTGCCATGACAAGTGCGGGGACGACCATGAGTGCCACCGAGCATGCGGCTGCCCCTTCCAGCAGCTGCGCGAGAAGTGCCCGATGCTGAACATGGAGGCCCACATGTACTCTAGCTTTCTGTGTGGTCATGGTGCTTTCTAGGGGGCCATGCAACCCTAATTACCAACCTTTCGGCGACTTCACACCTTGCCATGCAATGCAGCCTTACGACAACCTAAGAGAGAACCGCAGGTCAACATCATCAGAGCAGCATCATCACAACATGCCAGCCGCACCACCTCAAGGGGGGAACCTTTCGCCATCTTTTCGGTAACCACTGGCGCTTTCTGCCAATCGGGGTCTCTCACTGCTACTCGAGGTCATGAATCCGTTCATGTCCAGAGCTGAGTCAGCACTGTTTCCGGCTCACGGCTCACTACCGTTTACGATGCATACTGTAGCACACTTCCTAAGAATATCCCTGCTGAATTCCCATCATGAACATATATATATACTAGCGTGTACCCCCCAACCCTATTCTGATGACTTCGGGCCATACATCACTCCAGCTTGCTCGCACACTCTTGATGTGCTTCACTCCGTCGTTTACTTCTGCCAGTCGACTCTAAGTGCTGAGTGAGCCCTACCCTAGCCAGCTGCACAAATATCAGGGCTTGAATCCGAAGCATCCATGGCTCTACATTGCCCTGTATTCTCTTTTATTCCTTGAAAGACTTTGTTCTGCTGTGTTCTATCCTATCCCGTCTGGCCCATACCATCCTATGCCATGCTATTCTACTCCGTTATTATGGTATGTTCTATTCTGTTCTGCTCTGTTCCATATTCTATTCTGTGATATTATATTTCATTATGTTCTGCTACGTTATGTTATGTTGGCTGTGCAGGAGCACTTCCACCACCATGGTTGGCACCACTATAGGCATGCTGCCACAAAGGCTGAGTTCTGCGCTGACGTCATGCAGGTGAAAACGTGCCACGACAATTGCGGCCTGGATCGTCATTGCCACAAGGCCTGCCCCCTGCCTGAGGATGCCGCACTTCAAACTAAGCTGGTGGAATCGATGGAGTGCCATGAGAACTGCCAATATGATGGCGAATGCCACCGTGATTGTGGTTGCCCCTTCGAGCAGCTGCGCGACAAGTGCCCGATGCTCTTTGCGCCCTTTACCGACTCTCTTCCCGGGCAGAATCCGGACATGCTGATGGCTGTTCACGTTTAACTTTGGCAAGTACTGGTGTAACCGTAGGTAGATGCGGCACTGCATACAGCTTGTGATGCATGCTAGCCATGCTTGTACAAACTCTTATCTTAATGCCTTCCTACTGGCCGTCGTCTGACAGTCGAGGCCGGGAGTTTTATATCTCAATTGTTTGATGTATGGTGGGCGCTGGACCTGGTTTGAAGCAAGGCCTGGCATTCTGGAAGCTCATGCTCCATAGAAGCATTCCATGGACTGCTTCTGACTTTGTGCAAAACGAAGCTTCGGAGAAAAGGGAGCCACAGAAACCTGTTGCAAGGAGGACGGATGGTATAGCAGGCGTCTAATCCAGGCTTCAGGAAAATCTTTTGGAAACCACTGCAACAAATAGTTGCATGCAAGTAATCGAAACCAGGGAGAGCAACCTGGTGTTAGCTTCGTGTCTTCAGTTGTCATCGCTGTTCCTGCACCAGTCCGGTTTTGCAGGATTCTGGAGAGCGACTCACATCAAGAAGCTGCGCAGCCCTTGGCAACATGTCGGATAGGGATTTTAGGATCTGTCTTAGGATTTAGGGTTTAGGGTCGGTCTATGTGGGTGGTTGTCAAAATTAGGGTCCCTTTTGGGTACCCGAAATAATAGGTGCCTTATAAGGACCCAAAAAGGGGCCATAGTTTTGACAACCACCCATGTAGTACAGGCATCATGGCACAGCAATGCACAGCACGCAGAAGCGGACTGCTCGTCCGTTCATTCCCGAGACCCAAGGTAGGGGTGAAACTCTGAGTTTTGAATCCTTGACAACCGCGGAAAGGTGCAGTACTCCCATAACCATAACCCTAAACTCTTTTACAGCTGCCAAGAAGACAGCCAGAGAGTTTCTGGCCAGGTTGAAACTGCGATGCCTGGGCGAGATGTGAAGAGCAGCCCTTTACCTTATCTTCCCGCATGGTGGGGAGATGGAATGTTCATAGGGCAGTAGTAGTAGCTCCAGCTGCCAATATGCAAGAGGAATTTGCCGGACAAGCCCACAGTGGCTTTCCAGATCAGGTCGCACAAGCTCGACAGAAAGAATGGGCTCAACATGACATGGCTAAGACCCGGTATGGTAGGATTTATCAGTTGCTTGTTGTGGCTTTGTGTGAATTATTGTGCCACATGCTCTTCTTTTGCAGTCCATGGATGCGGTCGGTCGAACAAGCTTCAGCGTCGTGAGAATGCCTCATGCTGGAAGTTGTTATTCTTGTGAATGTCTGGGTGGAACTGCGACTCAACTCGGTGACTTGCGACCTTCACCCGGGCTCCCTTGAGTCAGGTCTGCTTTATGTCGAATTTCCCCGAGGGTTTATGAGGAGTCCGAGGTGTAGCTGGTATTGGTCCTGCAAATCTTGGATACTCCGCGCGAATCCGAGCTTCTTTGCGACTCTGGGAGAATGGTGCCGCTTCCGGCCATCAACGCTTGCTCAAGCTGTCCGAAGCCTTGAACGCCAAGTTGAGAATAACATCACCGACAAGCTGGATGAGCAGTAGCTCCAGTGCTCCAGTACGATTATGATGACGTGTGTGATTATAATGCTGTTCGGCGATAATGGCAACTCCTGTCTAGCATTTATGCTTCGTTATTATTGACTCCGTCACAGTTCTTTGCGTCTCGGAAGCATCGGGCGGGAACGAGAAGCCTAGTAGTAGAGTAAGCAACCTTTAACCTGTGCCCCAAACGTCAGCCTTCAGTCCCTTTACGAAACCGAGCAAGTACTCAAAGGAACGAGAAAGAGTTTGAGAGCTAGATCCACTCATACCTAACACCAAGAAGCGACAGAGCAGCATCCCTGGAATTACAACAGCTGTCTCTTGACGGCCTGCCTCAATCTATTGCGCCGGATGGCAGCAAAGGGACTCCAGAAGGGAAAGAAAGTCTGGCGCAGCAAAGGCGGCTCTACCCGGGCTTGGGCTTCGGGTTCTGCCAGTCACTGCAAACTGTTTGAATCAAGACATGTACTTGAAATCATAGTCAGTCAAGATTTCATAGATGGAGATTCGCAATGGCAATTTTAGGATTCAGATTAGATTCTGCTTGCGGCTGAAGCTTGAGGGTGAAGGGCTGAGGGTTTTAAAGGGTTCAGGGTGTAGCCAGAACGCTTCAAAGGAAAGGGGGTTAGAGTTTGGGAAGATAGGAGCCGTGTTAGTCTATTAGTCTCTAAGCAGTGTAGACTATGGACATAGAAGCTCACGAGCTCGTTCGAGACGAGGAGATGCCCCAAAGCATCAAAAGCCTTGGTTCAGGTTTGCAGACTCTCCAACAGTAGCAACGTCAGCCAAACAAACATCAACACAAAACTGGTTATTGTGAAGTACGGACCCGAAGAGAAAAGAGCGGTAGGAATCAAGTTGGCCGGATCTAGTGCTACTTGACAGGGTTAAGTTAGCAAGACCAGGTGCTGGCTTGCTGGCCGCTGGGCTGATGCCAAAAGCACACTCCATGCTAGGACGTTTGAATTTGGTGTTGGCTTGAGAGTTCAGTGAGCTTTCTGCTTTGCGCTTGAAGGCATCGGCAATTGGTGTTGGAGATTTCACCTTGCAGGCTTTAAGGCTCTGGGGTGACGAGCAGGTGGGACACAAGAGCTCCTTGGAGTTCTAAATCCAAGATGCTCCTAGCGGGTTCAGGCTGGCAGTGGTCCCAAATGCAAGCTTAAAGGCTTAAAGGTTTTCCGCACAGGAGTCGTCGGTCGCAGCCAGCAGTGGCTGCATGACCTTATGTTCATCATGTCAGGAATCCATCATGTCCCCATGTAGCCCCTACACAGTGGTACTGTAAATATTGCATCGGAAGCCACTCCCTAAACCCCGAAACCCGAAACCCTAAAGAGCTGGATGTAATCTGTTTGCGCTAGGATAGGACAAGGAGCCCTCGTCTCAGCACAGCAGCTAGCAAGCTTTGTTCTCGAAGCCCCTAGTTAAACACACAGTCCATACTTCGAGTCTTTTTGAGTTGTTCTAGGCATATAGCAACACAATAATTTGAAAAAGTATTTGAACTTAGTATTATCTGCGGATGATACCGATAGTTTGAATGATAATCAGCATAATCATACTCATAATCATGATGTCAATAAGAAGGGCATTAAATAAGAACGACACTAACTTTAATAGTGATTTTACACAGTCTAAATCTAGCTGCCGAGTTTTGCTTTCGGACTGTAGGGTTCAGCCTCATAATTTGTGGCTCAGCCGAAGCCGCACTTTGTCAGCATTGCCTCCCTTGGTTTTATCTTATTAGGCTCACTGGAGAACATCTCCTCAAAGTCCAGACCGGCACGCTTTGAATGGCGATGCCAAGTCGTAAGAAGACCCAGAAGCCAAAACCAGAAAGATTTGAAGTTCAAACAGACACCCAAACCCCGAGACCCCGAAAGCCCTAAATGCCTCGGAAGCTTCTAAGTTCGCAATCCCGGCCAAAAGCACAACACACGAAGCCGCCAAGCCCCATGCTCTTGCTGGAATCCGTGCGAGGTCGACACTCAACTCTAAACTTAAACTAGAACCCCTAAACCCTAAACCCTAAACCCAAACTGAGCTAAACCCTAAACCCTAAACCCAAACTGAGCTAAACCCTAAACCCTAAACCCAAACTTTGCTAAACCCTAAACCCCCTTTCATCCTCGAGGCCCAGCTGAAGTCGACGGAGCCTTCCTCGATCCCGCGGCTCATCGGCGAGCCCCTCTCCACGGCTCCTGGACCTGATTAAAGTAAGGGTTTAGGGTTTAGGGTTTAGGGCTTATACGGCTCCTGGACCTGATTTGGGGGTTTCCGAAAATAAGGGGTACCTTATTTGGGGGTCCTTATAATAAGGATCCTATTATTTAGGGTACTATATTAGGGTCCCCTTGGGGCTGATTAAAGTAAGGTTATAACTACCTTAATGGGAGTTATGATAAATTATAGCTATAGTTACCTTATGTATAACCCTAGTTACTAAGTGGGTTTGGAGATCAGTTTTTTTGGGCACAAGGTGTAGAAATCATGATATGGGGTTTAGAAGTTCAGGCTTATTTAGACGTCATCATGTCGGGCTTAGAGTTGCAGGGGCCGTTGACCAGGGATCCTTGCATATGGAGCTTACGAGTGAGGACGCTGTCTCTCCTAAAGTTGTGGTCCAAGTGCCCAAATAATGGAGCTCAAAGGTTTAGGGTAGGTTCGGGTAGTGCTATCGTAGGGTTGGCGGTTGGTGTTCTGCAGGTTCGGGGGTATTGGCCATGGGCCGCAGGCTTTGGGGACCCCGCAACTTGAAGGTAACGGTTAAGGGTTTAGGGTTTAGGGTAAGCCCTAAACCTTAGGGTTTAGGGTTTAGGGTTCTGAAGCCCAGAAAGGCTGAAACCAGTCTGAATCTATGAATTGGATGACTCCGAGAGCCATTACCTTGTGCGGCGCACCATGCATCGGAAGACTACTATCATATACAGTATAATTATTACATCATCTTTTCAACTATATTGCAGCATACGTGAGCGCCACCGGATCTTCCTGGACTCGCTTGGAAAGACATCTCACCTCTTCTCGTAGATCCTCAGCGTAAAAGTTGCCACGTGGGTAGTTCTGCCCAATTCTTACAATTATAAGCAAATGTCAAACGCTTGTACCCTACTTCGCGACTCGCTCAGCCATGTAGGAGGCAAAAAAATAAGCAAGGATCGCAAAAGAGACCCTGATTCCAAAGAAGTGCGCATAGCTTGGAGAGACTTCCCTCAGAGCATGCCTTCTTCAAGGATGAGTACTTGCTGGCGCAGATGGCGCAGCGTCAGGACAAGAGAGATCACAGCCGTAGCCCGAAACCTCTCACTGTGTGAAATCGTTGTGGGAATCCACCCCAAACCCTAAAAGGCCCTAAACCCACGCGAGAACCCATCACCGCGGTCTCCGCTTTCCTGTCTGCAGGACGCCATGGATTGGGCAGATGCAGCGAACTGCGAGACCTTCGGGGAGGAGGCGGGCTGGGATGTGGCGGAAGCTCAGTTGCAAGCTACTTGTAGCTGATCTGTCGAGCAGTGCACACAAGCAGATTCCACTCACACGGGCCACGAACCCAAAACAGCTTATGTGGTTTAAGGCTAGTCCGTGTGCTTCAGCAGTCACCAGGTGCGGTGCACATGTTCGAACCATCCCAGTGTGAACCTTCGTGGTGAACTCCGCGGCCCTTACTTGATTTCCCCGCAGCAAAACTATAACTACAAGAGCAGTAGCAACAGTAAACGCCAACATCTCCGCTAAACCCTAAACTCCGAAGCCTTGTCTGAAGCTGCACATGACAGCGGAGCTACTGGGCGAATGGGCACTTCTGGCGGTCTTGCCTTCCTGCGTGGACTTGTTGGCGAAAGGTGCCTGGCAGTTGTCCGCCTGTGAGCGTCAGAACTTCCTAAGCCCAATACAGTATTACGTGGAGCCTTTCCTTCCTTGTGGAAGAGTGAGAGTCGAAACGTTAAGCCCCAAACCCTAAGCCCTAAAGCTCGTCCTTGCTAAGTAGGAGGCAAAAAAACCCTAAAACTTAAGGCCCTAAGCACTCGATGCAAGACCTGGACTGAAGGACGTTGTGCAAGGGCATGTGGTGGCGCGCCCTGTGGGTGTGGTTCAGTGAGTGATGGGAGTGCTGCAATGGAAGCCTTCGGATGTGCTAGATAGGATTGTCAGATGGTCCCTACCTCCTCGAGTAGGGTGGGGCTTCGAGGCCAATGTGCTTTGAAGGGATTTGGAGTCATGGAGCCAATGTGCTTTGGATTGGGATTGTGTTGTGTACTGGAGCCTCGCCTGCTTGTCGAGTGTGAGTGCTAAAAAAGGCCCTAAGCACTTAACCCTTAACCCCGAAGCCCTGAGCCCTAACCTCCTAGCACCCAAAACAAGGACATGCTCTCGGCTCCGACGTCAATCTGCCGCCCCGGCCTGGGGGAACTTTTGGTTGGCATCCTGGCCCCCCGAAAGATGACATGTGGGAGTTCCGAACATAAGGGGTTCAGGGTTTAGGGTTTAAGGGTTTAGGGTTTAGGGTTTAGGGGTTTACGGTTTAGGGGTTCGTTATTCTGGGGTCCTTGTTAATACGGATCCTACTAATTGGGATGCTATATTAAGGCCCCCTATTTTCGGAAATCCCCATGTAACCTACCTAATTATATACACATGCACAACATGTGATGCCTAAGGCCTATATGTGTATATATCTATCTGTCTATCTGTCTATATGTCTATCTATCTACCTGTCTCTCTAAGGCTTAGTCCTTTCAGGTCAATGGTTTGAGTCAGTGTTGGCGGTGTCAGTTGCTACCGGGCTAGAGGGTTTTGGTGATAGGGCCTGGGCCCCGCGGCGGTTTTGTGTCGTCTTTGGGTTTTCGGGGGGTTGTACTTTTGGCGTTCAGGCTTCGAGCATTACAAGTTGCTCAGCCTGTTTTGGGGGTTGTAGATTTCCTAAGTTTCGGAACAAAAGTTCGGGTGTGTCGAATCGTCCCGTCATGTTTCGGTATGTGTTGATGTGCTTCGTCATTATGTTGTGTTGATCTTACCACTTCCGCACGTTGTGTCTGCACTGCTGCTATTCCTGTCAGGGCTTCTTTCAGGCTTGCAAGTTCGAATTCGTCAGTCCTCAACCATGAACCCTAGGCAAACTGGAAGAACCTGAGACCGCTGAAGACGAAGATGCTCCAGGTCAAGTTAAAGAAGTGCTCGCGTAACTGGAGCTTTTCTGGAAGAAGGGTTTTGGGGCTGCCGGGTTTTGGGCATCAGCTGCGGCAACTGAGTCCGCGAGAGAGAGAGAGAGAGCTGCGGCAACCGTGGCTCAAAGATTGGGGGTAAAAAGGCCTCTAGACCTCTACCTTGAACTACCACAACCTACTTTTTTGTAGGTCCTTATTATAGACCCTAATATAGAAATTTTAGGGACCCTGAAAAAAAGTAGGTTTTGGTAGTTTAAGGTAGGGTTTAGGCAGGTCATACAGCCCGAGATGGGCGCTGACCTTACGCTTGAAACCTGAAGTCCCCAAGCCTCCAAAACCGTGAAGCCGGGAGTCGGACCTGAAAAGGCTTTGGGCCTGAAGTTAAGAGAAGCCTCAACCCCAAAAGAGATAATATAGGGGCCTAAATGATTACCAATTTTATTTTGGGGGTTCCTTATGATAAATGGAGTACAATGGGCCACAAATCCTTGTTCTAATTATTAAGGCCCCTACATTAACTGCTGACAAGGCACATGTGGATTCATGGGAACTGCAGCACCCAAGTATGCCGACCGTCTCGGGGCAGTGGAGCTAAACGCGACTTTCCATGACCGTGGCGGCACGACCTACGACAGCCAGGTGCTGAACTCGCAGCCTACTTTAAACTACCATGTGCAACGCTTTGCAGAGTTCACGTCTGATATAGATTTGTATCGGCACGCATGTGAAGACGCAGATTCCCACATCAATGGGTGTTGGGCTATTCGGGGGCCCTTAAGGATTACAGCTTTGTCCGAACGGTATGTCCCCCAAGACCGAAGTTCTCAGAGGGCTCCCAGGATGCG